AGATTCACACAAGGAAAATTCAGCTGTCAACTTTACAGCAATTCTGTTATAAAATCATGTCAACATGGACCAGAATCTTTAAGGAATGTTAGTTATTTTTCAACTACTCTATTCAATCAGCAGAACTTTGCCAACTAACAACCCCTGCCCTAAACCCTAACCCCTGTTTTGTGTGTGTGTGTGTGTGTGTGTGTGTGTGTGTGTGTGTGTGTGTGTGTGTATAGGTCGCGATGGTGGAGGTTCAGCTGGATACTAATCATGATTACCCCCCTGGTCTGTTGATCGCATTCAGTGCATGCACCACAGTGTTGGTGGCAGTTCATCTCTTTGCTCTGATGATCAGCACCTGCATCTTGCCCAACATCGAGGCCGTCAGCAACGTACACAACCTGAACTCGGTGCGTGAGTCTCCACATGAACGTATGCATCGCCACGTCGAGCTGGCCTGGGCCTTCTCAACCGTCATCGGCACACTGCTCTTCCTTGCCGAGGTCGTCCTGCTCTGCTGGGTCAAGTTTTTACCCATCAAGCCCAACAATCAGAAAAACGGCACCGTCTCAGCTGGGGTGGCCGCCGCCATCACCTCCACCTCTATCATGGTGCCATTTGGCCTCATCTTTATCGTCTTCGCTGTCCATTTTTATCGTTCGCTTGTCAGTCACAAAACCGACCGTCAGTTCCGGGAGTTAGAGGAGCTGGAGGATCTGACACGGCTTCAGAACGAGCTGGACCAAAGAGGAGAAACGTCAGTGCTGCACTCTCCAGCCTCCCAATAGAGGACGCCTTGACCATCCTGAATCTGCTTTTTAAACTACTGTATCTGTATGCCTTTGTTTCTGCATGTGGATTTAAGGGGATTGATAAAATCTAAAATGCAACTCTGGCTTGACCAGCCATCGTTAGGGGGCAACATCCTGAGCCTTTTTTTTTGTTTGTTTTTAAACACATGTATGTGCTTGTTTTTGCATTTTTAAATTGAGGAGACTACTTTTTATGAAAGAGGCAAAAGTCAGAAAAACACTGTAATCCAATTTCTAATACTGTCTGTTACTGCATGTGAATTAGGAGTGTGACAGTATATCAGCGTGACATTATATCACAATGAAGACATCGACATTATGTTTTAACAAGATCATTAATCTATAGGCAAGTACCGTGATGTACCAAAATCCATCAGCGTGACATTTGCCATAACAACAGTTTTTCATATTTTTATGAAAATGCAAAGTCAGGGCTTTGGAGGTTATCTGGTGTTCATCGAACCGCAGTTCCTTGAGTATCTAACATGCAAGGTAACTAGTAGGACAACAAAATATGTGAAAATACATGCAGATATTTAATTTCAGTCCACTTCCTTCTTACTTGAAGACATACATATATGAACTCATGCTTTCTCTGGGCTGTGATCTTTTTTTTTTTGTTACTATAACCCTGCATTCATTCTAATGGAAAGCTGTCAAAAGTCAAACGGCTGTAAAAGAATCTTGTAGTGTTCACAAATGTGGAACAGTGTTTCTCAGTATGCTGGAACCCATAGATTTGTGTGAGCAGTTGATGTTATCCAGTGCATGTGAGAGAAGGTTAGACTTAGGATGTTCCAGACACTTCATTTTCCCCACTGTGAAACATTATGCGTCTTTTACTGAGCTTAGTCTGTACTGTGTTTAACACATCAACAGCCTGGAACAGTGTGAAGTTAAGCTATTTTAAATCAGAGTGTATAATTGTTGGTACGTGTGTCACTACTGAGTCACCTATAATTCACAAAAGAAGTGTTTTTAGCTAATTATTCTGTGAATCACACCGGGATCAATAATGGCTTGTTGAGTGTTGCTGTGTAAACAAATAACAAACATCTAACTGCAGAAAATATCACACAATTGATGATGGTCCAGTGCACTATTTATCTGCATAAACATTAGTGACTAGCAGTAAATGAGTAAAAACGTCAGCAACGCCCAATATTAACCAACATATAACTATTTGGGTGCCGTGAGTTACCATCGCTTGAACATAAGGTTAATCACAAGGCATGCGGAGTATAAAGTTGAAGGATGTAAAAATGAAGGCTCATTTTTGCTCTTCATCTTTGGAATTAATCACTAAAATCATTTTATAAGTGAATAATAAATTTATTTCACTAACTGCTGTAATTTTTAATACAATAGCTGTCTTGTTGAAATTCTTTTTACTGATGCCCTCAGTATTCTGTAATTATGAATGTCAGTGCCAAAATATGACTGTTAGGTGTGTGCTGATATTAAATTCCCATATAATAATATCAATGGTGGTTAGTATGGCAAAAATACATCATGAAAGAAAGGAAGTTACAAAAATAGATTTTAAGTACAGTCAGGAGTAAGGAACAGTGAAGTGCGTCAGTGTTACATAGTGCTGCCTATATATATATATATATATATATATAAATTTTAAAAAAAATATGACACTATATCATATCATCATTGGCCAGGCCTGTATAGTAAATCTTCAACCTTCTATTATGGTTTATGTTGTTATTTCAATATTGTATTTCCTAAACAATGACTACATTACAGACACCTTAGTAGGAGTACCAGTGCTCTGCCTAAGCGGTCTCTTCGACTTTATCACAGCACAAAAATTTTAAAATATATGTTGCATATCATGGTATGTTGTATACCTGAGTATCGGCACACGCCTGACTGTCATTTCTACAGAATCTCCGAACTGAGCCACATTTTGGTGAATGTTTACATCTTTACAATAATGTGCCAAATACTTTTGATTTACACCTCCAATCTGTACTGAGTTCTAATTCAGCTTAATGAATCAAGGTGTAATTATTCCCATTACCTCTGTCTGAAGGTATCTGGGCATTTCAATACTACTTAAATCACTTCCCCTGTCTTCTTCCCCTAATTCCCTTGGCCATCTTAAGGGTAGCAAACCAGTTAATTAGTAGGATCTATTTAGCACAGCTGACTAGCTACATTTTTATTGCTGCTGACCAGACTGTCAACTTATCCTTAATAAAGGTTTAATTTATGATAAATTACATTTTATGAATTAAAGATCTAAAGGATTTAATTGTCTTAAATTTTAGGTTACAAACATTCCTCATCTGGTGTCAGATGATGTTTTTATCCTTTATGCTGTTGTTAGGATCTGTTTGAAATTAAAGCTGTGTTGAAAACAGTATAAGAACATCATGCACAGGATGAACATGAGATTTGTTTCTGATGAACAACTTCAAAATGACTGCTTTAACCACATCTCATTTTGGTGTGAAAACCATTTGCCAAGTGATGTGGCTTGAAGTTTTTTTTTTGTTTGTTTTTTTGTTGTTTTTTTTCTGAGCACACACAGTGTCTAAATGGTTTACAAGAGCAGTGTTTGTACTGAGTTTTGTATGGTTGGAAGACCTTTAAAATGTCTGAATGAAATAAAATGAAATATACCAAAACCTGCATCACTGAGCACTCATTTTATATTGCTGTATATTTTATATTTGAGTATACATTATATTGAGTATATATATTTTATATATGAGTGTACAGTATATACTCATTTTATATTCTCGGAGCTGTGAAGACAAAGCATATTTGTGATTTCCTGTTCTTGTGTGAGGCAAAATTACACTACTTTCTTTGTATTGACTTACAAAATATGGCTGCTGATCCTGTTATGTATTAAAACTGCAAATATAAGTTTTTGCTAAATTTAGTCACTACCCTAATAACGGACCATTTGTGTCCATGAAAATGTAGCTACTGTAAATTTATCAAACGTTAGGTATTAAATCGGCCAATGTGACATTTGTTAAGTTTACAGAAGCTATGTTTTAATGCACGCCAATAGTCCATTATTAGTGTAGTAGCTCTCACACAAATATATGAATGTGTAAAGAAGCATGGTCCAGTTCTCATGGCTGAAACACATGCCAAACTGCACACATTCGATTTGATTGTGTGGAATTTACACAGACAGACAGCAGGATTCACCAGTTGATTTTTTAATCTCTAAACGGCTGCATCCCTCCATCAGTACTGACTGAATATCCTGCAGCATCACCTACAGAGCAGACAGAGACAGAGAGTGAGACAGGTGAACTTACTGACAGACAGAATTAACTGACGCACTGTGACACTCCTTTCGATTTATTCAAAATAATGTGATAGTGAGCTTGACTATCATGTTAAATCATATAACCGATCAAAAGTACATTTATATGCATTGTTTAAAATTCAGTATTATCTGTATTGGGAATGAAAGCGTTATTAATCAAAATATTACTCAATTTTGTGTGTGTGTAATCTGTCAAGTTTTTTAAACTAGTGCTTCCCACACAGACACACACACACACACACACACACACACACATCCTGTTCACACTGTTTAAGGTTAAAGGTGTTGTATTACCGGGGGGATGGGGTGCAACGGTGGTGTGTGTGCATGCTTCCTGTCATAATCACACATCGTCCCGCACTTTGGCACATCGTCTACCCAGAAGCCCTCGTATAGCTGTCCCCTGTCGGTGTAGAAGAAGCGTCCATGTCCATGTTTCTTCCCGTCCTTCCAGCTGCCCTCATACCTGTTCTCATTCACTTACACACATACCGAGGTTTACTGTTTATTTATCCCTGATTCACCATGGTGTAAATCTTGGTAATTTATACAACTATTATTATTAATCAGAAGGCAAGCTGCACTTTTAAAGTGAATGTATATACTGCACTATACAGTATGCTGTGTATTGGAGATGTGCAACCTTTCAGACCTTAAAGCTTTACTGTAACTCTGGAGGCAGAAAATCAAGAGAATTTGAGCTGCGTGTGCCTTGACATTATGCAGCCACAGTTAAAGTGGAACGTCTCAATGCTTAACAGTGAATATCCCAAAGATAGACAAACTCATTTTTTCTGACGTTGATACATTATATATATGTATATTGGAAAGAGCATATTTTCAATTCAGCATGTTGTATTTTTTTTTTCCCCTGGCACTTTGTCTTCCATGTTTGCACCTAGCTAGCTCAGATGGTAGCGCATGGGACTCTTAATCGCAGGATTGTGGGTTTGAGCTCCATGCAGGGTTCCAACCCCAGCCACAGGGGGTGCCTGTGCCAAGCCCAGATAAATGGTGAGGGTTGCATCAGGAAGGGCATCCAGCGTAAAACCTGTGGCAAATCAATATGTGGACAATGAAAGGTGATCTGCTGTGGTGACCTCTAACAGGAGCAGCCAAAAGAACAACTTTGTTGTCCATGTTTCTTTTTTTTTTTCCCCAAATTGTGACCTGACTGGTTGAGACATAAAAAAGTGTTTGATGTCACACTGTGCTTTTCTGAAAAGGTCAGTTTTTGGGTGGTTTTTAAATGTTATAATTTTTTAAAAAATATTTGAGTTTAAAGTGTGAAAGTTTTCCACTGGAAAACGCTGACAGAATCTCGGGAAATTTGAACTCCAGCTGACAGCTGATGATGTCATAATGACCGTTACAGCATCTGACCAATCAGCAGCTTTGTTTAATGTCACTCTGAGTGGAAATGAACGCTCATCATAATTACACACTAGCTTTTTCTTTCTTCTTTGAATCATTTCAAGCTTCCTGCAGATTTCATTTAATCATTTCAATTACTTCACTTACTTCCTTAATAATAAAAGGGGGTTCAAAGTGTTCTGTGAAAAATATCATACCGAGCCACAGCACGCCCTGACCGTGGGGATTATCCTTCAGCCACTCTCCTTCATACACATCTCCGTTCTCATAAGTCATCCTCCCCCATCCGCTCCTCTTATTCTCCACCCACTCCCCCTCATATCGCACTGATGAGCTGTAGAAACGCGTCCCAAACCCCTGCACACAAACACACACATACACACAAAGGATAAATTTTCCTTTACCTCTATCTTCCTCTGAGCTGCATCCCAGTACTGTAGTCTTTTCCCTTTGGTTAAGTCATCTTGTCCATCTTAAACACCATTCTATTCCTCTATTAGCTCAAGCAAAGTGTGCTTTATATATATATATATATATATATATATATATATATATATATATATATATATATATATATATATTCAAAACTGTACATTGTGATTGTGTGTTCATTTTGTCTGATCTGTTACACGCTCCTTCTTTAGTGCTGAAATAGTGCACACATCTGAAGTGTTAGGGTAGGTAGAAAATGATATGTTAAGGGACAGCACTGGAGTGCAGAGTGATACCCACCTCTTTCTTATCATTTCTCCATGTGCCTGAATAAACTTTTACATATTCATTAGTTGATGGCTGCAGTTTGCTGAGCATCCCATATCCGTCACGCACATTCTGTTTCCATTCACCTTCATACACAGCTCCGGCTCTCTTCCACACTTGTGTTCCCTCCCCTGTTCACAAAGCAGAGAGTGTGAGAGATCTGTCTGCATATCTTTCTATCTATCTATCTATCTATCTATCTATCTATCTACCAAGGTATCTATGTATCTATCTATCTACAGTATACATATATCTATCTATATACTTATTGTTGTAGATGTAGATAGCAATGTACACAAAGTTTCTAGAGAAACAATCCCTTATCAGCTGTGTAAGGAAAGTACTAGTACTTTCTGTCTATCTATCTATCTATCTATCTATCTGTAAAACTAAGGAAAAAACCTACAAAATGGACAGGGGACTACAACTACAAAACAAATCTCTTAGTCATTACAAAATATCCAGTGTCCAAATTTAGCTAAGATAATTATCAGGTAACCACACACTTATACTTACTGACATTATTAGACAAAGCAAAGTTTCAAAGTACAGTAAAAACAGAAGTAATATGATGAATAACAATGCTGGCCATGTCTTTCCAAATCGTGCAGAATCACAATGCAAGAGTAGATGAAGTGAAGGTTCGGAGTGGAACGCCTATTGCGCATGCGCACTTTAACAAGCGGTTACCGTGTCTCATGTTATCGCGCCACTCTCCGGTGTATCGGTCTCCGTTCGGGCTGTAGACGGTATGGCGGAGACCATTCTTCTGAGCCTTTTTCTCCACTACTTTTACAAGCAGCTCAGTTTTCCGCGGTTTCTTCAGGAGAGGCATTATTCCACACTTTTTAAATTGAGAAAAATCTGACGGCTGAAGTGTTAAACCGGTGGAGTAAAGTTTAGCCTGTTGCCCATGAAACCCCGTTCCTTCCTGCCGTGTAACCATAGCAACAACTCTGACGCTTACATGCGGAAGTGCCGTACATACTAATCAAAACATTGTACAAAGAAATATATAGGTAAATATAAAATATAGCTGGTATTCAAATACATGTGGTCTAAAAAATTATCAGTTTAGAAGCTTTTCATTATGTATATATTGTATGAAAAAGAAAAAAAATCCATGAATATATTATAGGGTTCTATTGGTTACTTAAATTTTACAAACAAATATTTACCTAGAATAATTAAAAGATTAGTTAAATAAGAGATATTAGTGTCGCAGTCAATGTAATTTTTTATAAAATCCCATTTTCAATTCTTGTTGTTTTTGCGCAGTGTCCTACATAAACCATTATTCCACATATTGTAGTCGGAGCACAATTACAAAAGCTATTTTAATCCTTTTTTTTTTTCATAAGTTCCTTCAGATCCTCTGAGAAACAGACCTGAGAAACATTTCGAGATAATATTATTACATGGCTAATTTTATAAATTTAGATCTATTTGGGTCCGTGACAGTTTTTTTGTCCACTAAGATATTACTGCAGGATTTTTTTTACTATATAAAGATACCTAACAAATCTTGTCCTCTTCACTATTCTGGTATAATGTTTAACATCCTAACCTGGTGGCCTGAAAAACATACTCAGGTTAATTGCCCAGAATACAGTGTCTTGTGGGGTTTTTTTCCGTCCTTGTGCCTAATATTACTGCATTTAATAGATTACTATATTTTGTTTGATAGTCCTCTTTTTAATTATCGTTGTTGCTGTAACTTAAAAAAATAAATATTTGTTGAGGAAATTCAGAAAATAGTGCGCATGCGCGCTGTAATTCTGACCGCGTCGGTCAAACGCATGCGTGAAAATGGTGCGCATGCGCAGTGAGGCTTGTCCACAAAGAGGAGAAAGCAGGTGAGCATGGCAGTGGGTACAATGTCACTGGAGAGATGTCGGAGTGAATGGGAAGAAATAGAGAAAGAATATCAACAGCTGCAGGTTTGGACGTTGGTTAATTACTTCTTAGACTGTGAAATTTTAATTTGAAAGAATAAGGAAGCGAATAAACTTTTTAAAATGGGATTTGTTAAACCTTCTCTGCTTACTTAGCGTTATAGGGATGAAAGCTAGCAGTCTCGCTAACAGGGTTGTGAACACTGATTTCACTTAGAAAACCTTTACTTTAAGTTTGCCCTTTGTGTTCCTGTTCATTCGTGTTTTCATTCTTTGTGAGTGACTAAAATGTCCTTGAGAAGAGTGTCGTTAATCTGAGGGAGATAAATACCAATGTTATTGTTATTTTTGTTGTTGTTTTTAATCATAACACTGTCAGCAGCTGCATGTTTGGATGGCATTAATGATTTATCAGACTGTGTGATTTAATCAAACACGGATTAGAGAATTTACTAAGTCACCTCAATTGATCTGTATGTGTTACTATCTCGTCCTTCACAATGATTGAAGCTAACATGATTGTGTAATGTGATCTAGATAACCAATGTCTGTTTTTTAAGCTTGTCTATTGGTTTTCTTATCCATGTGTGTTTCTGGTTGAGGATGAATAAGCATCCTTTAGAATAGCAGTGTGACCAGTAATATTACACAATCAGATAATAATAAACGCAGATCATTTTTGTGTTTGTATTCATTAAGCGTAAATCCATTGCTTTTGAGGAGAGTGTTTCCAAGTTAATGTGATCATGATGAGAATTGGTTATAAAGAATAATGATTTTTTTTTGTTTTTTTTAAGGAGACTCATAAGGTGTACCGACAGAAGCTGGAGGAGCTCACACACCTGCAGGCGATCTGCAGCAGTGTGATATGCAAACAGAGGAAAGGCCTTAAAGAGCTCGGACACACACTTCGTCAGTACGTTTATTCTTAATCTGTGGGTCACATTTGCATGAGCTGATGATCAGTTATATGATATTTAACTGCAAGGGAAAAATGCAGAATCCAAGAAGTTACTATCTAAAGTGTACTTCAGCAGCAATAGTGCATGTAGTAAAAGTTAAGCGTAGTACACACAGGTCCCAGAGAAACAGGACACTTCAGACAAAAGTTATCAGATGTGTCCACCACAATGTCTCTGAGGCTGTAGGAAGTCAAACCCAGGTTTGTCTGAAATATCATGTTTCTCTGGAAACTTTGTGTACTTCACTTAATTTTTACCAACTCACTATATATATATATGTACTACATATGTACACTTCTGATTTGTCAGTGCCCGCTCTATCATAGGGAGATTGTGAGTTTGAATCCTGATGATGCCACAACCGTTCGTGGAGTCCAGAGAGCAAAAATTGCCCATGCTGTCTGGGTAGGAGAGATGGCATTTCTCTCTCTCTCTCTCTCTCTCTCTCTCTCTCTCTCTCTCTCTCTCTCTCCTGTCAGTCACAGTGACACTAGCCAATCGTGGGTATTTGTGAGGTCATGTATGTGGAAGAGGGCAGACAGCGTTCTCCTCTGGGTTCTCCTCTGGGTTCTCCTTACGCTGCATGTGATGCTGCATAAGCAGCAGTTTGAAAAGATGAGGAGGCTGGCGTCGTGTGTCTCAGAGAAAGCATATGTTCACTCTTCTTCACTTGGTAGCTGCTGTGTGATAGAGAAGAGGTAGCTGGTGGGTGGAAATTGGCAAGTGACCACACTGGGGAGAAAATAATATTGCCACTGCCACTACTCTCACTTTTGTTGAGGAGGTAGCAAAATAAAATCTTGATTAACAATAAACGTGACTGGCACACAGGAATTTTATTTGTAAAGCTTATGCATGTGCCTTCAGATGCGCAAAATCTTGCGACGACAAAGAGTCTCTGGCCATAAATCACCTGCAGGCGCAGATTAAAGAGAAGCAGAATGTCTTCTTCGACATGGAAGCCTACTTGCCAAAGAAG